GTAAATCTTGACCATATTTGGAATACCACGTGAAGTACTCAGCCAATCAAATCTGTCCAAATACTGGGTGCAGGTGCTCGATTTAACGTCGTGTCAATTTATCTGCCTCACTCAACCGTGAACACTTTAAGTTCAACACACAACTCATCATGGAAACCAAACAACAGGACGCTCAAACTCAATGACTGACATGCTCAGTAAACCAATTTTCTTCTTTTTAAAAAATTTACTTCATCATCATAGTTTATCGACAGAATGTGCAGTAAGTATATATATTTCACAGATCGACAAAAAGCGCTGCGCGATCCGCTGATCATCAGAATGCGCAACAATCGATGGATTGTCGCGCGTTTCCTCGATCAACCAAATGCGCTGCGCGATTGATGGATCGTGCAAATCGACAGATCGCGCCCAACAGAGGCATAGGTCTCATTCAAAACACGCCAAGTTGGTAGCTCTGTAGATGTTTGTCCAATGAAATTATGGAAGAAATTTAGACATGAGGAGCTCGAAAGGGTAGTCAGGAGACAAGACTTCCATTTTTCTATACAAAATCTTTCAAATGAGCTTGATTTTGTATGAAATGATACTACCTGATAAAAAATAGAAGCTTGTTTGATAGTTAAGAATACCATTGTGCAGGTACAAAGAACAATTTGAGTGTAAAACATTCGGAAATTGACCTATATTATTATCCCCTTTCGAACCTCAGGTCATTCATAACAACAAGAGCGTCCAGAAAGGTTATTCGAATGGGCGTAACTCGTAATGTCATATCAGCTTGTGAGAGGGGGTTATTCATGTGTTTGTAACACTTTATAAGTAGAAAGATATGAAAGATAGAGCATTATTTTCATCATCGATTAACACACTCCCACGGTATTCATGGCGAAAACACACGTTTCCTGGCGCGCGCGCTGTACACCAACAGTACACACTGAGTGACCCCGGCGGCCTGCCCGGCACGCCTGACGTAATCGGTTGTTGATAAGAACAATCAGATATATATTTCAAAAACTATTATTTGCGATGGAAATGAAATTGATATTCTTGTTCAGCGCATCAATATTTAGCAGAAAATGGACAACTGGTAAGTAAGTGTGAGACGGGAGGGAAAGTAAAAAAATACTAGACTAGATCTTGTACTTTTTTTGTCACAGTGTCAGTGTGTGGTTGTTTTGTACTTTGTCATCAAAACAGTACCCCACTGTAACGGGTGTTTGGACTGGTAACCGGTCATCTACGAGATGACTTGGCTTAATATCTTCTCTCCAAAATTGTTAGGCCTAGATCTAGATCTAAAGTCTATAGGTAGCCATGCTAGATCTAGATCTAGTAGTTTTGGAGGATCAGCCTAGATCTAAAGACTAAAAGACTAAAAAATCTAAAGTTAAAGCTTTGTTTGAAGTTATATAAATTATTAATGCAAATTAAATCTTTGTTTAAACTGTTCCATAGCTGAACAAAAGGCTTAGTTTTTAAAATAAGGCAAAAAAACAATAAGGTCGGCTCTATTTCTCCGAACGCTCAGGAAAATAAACTTGAACTCTATTTCTCTGAAGGCCAGCTCTATTCGGACTCGAGTCCGATAAGATTTTTTATCTATTCGGACTCGAGTCGGAATATAGGTTTTATCTATTCGTACGTCGGGTCCGAAAAAAATGTTTTATTTATTCGCACTCAGCTTCTAAGTGAGTTATAAATGTGAGTGTAAGGAGGTTACATAAAAATAGCTGTCTTCATGGGATTTTACGTAAAACCAGAATTAGAACTAATTACCCACTACGACTGTGTAATTGTGCCAAAAGCCAAAAGACTGCACTCTCTTTGCCCAATGGCAGTAATGTAAGTACACGGTAACCGACAACTCACTTTCCACCACCACTACAACATCATCATTACTTCCACCACCATTTGTCTTTCCACATATTTAATTTCATTTTGTTGTGTTATAGTTTTTCTGTAACGGATTGTCTACGTACACGGTAACTGGGCACCTAGTCTCAGTGTCTACGTACACGGTAACCGGCAACCGGGCACGTAGTCTCAGTGTCATGTACACGGTAACCGGGCATGTAGCCTCAATATCTACGTACACGGTAACCGGCAACCGGGCACGTAGTCTCAGTGTCATGTACACGGTAACCGGGCATGTAGCCTCAATATCTACGTACACGGCAACCGGGCACTTAGTCTCAGTGTCATGTACACGGTAACCGGGCATGTAGCCTCAATATCTACGTACACGGTAACCGGCAACCGGGCACGTAGTCTCAGTGTCATGTACACGGTAACCGGGCATGTAGCCTCAATATCTACGTACACGGCAACCGGGCACGTAGTCTCAGTGTCATGTACACGGTAACCGGGCATGTAGCCTCAATATCTACGTACATGGTAACCGGCAACCGGGCACGTAGTCTCAGTGTCATGTACACGGTAACCGGGCATGTAGCCTCAATATCTACGTACACGGCAACCGGGCACGTAGTCTCAGTGTCATGTACACGGTAACCGGGCATGTAGCCTCAATATCTACGTACATGGTAACCGGCAACCGGGTACGTAGTCTCAGTGTCATGTACACGGTAACCGGGCATGTAGCCTCAATATCTACGTACATGGTAACCGGCAACCGGGTACGTAGTCTCAATGTCACGAACACGGTAACCAGGCAGTTCAGAACTCCAAGTTCAGTTTTTGTCATCCGGTGTTGCCTTCATCCCCACCCCTCCCCTGACTGACCTTTTAAAAAAATAAATAATCCCCCTATTCCGGAGCCCTATACTTTGCAGTGCACATACTTTGAATGAACTTTGGTGACCCCAAGCGGGGACTCACAATGTGATGCGCACGCACAGGTTCACTGACCGGTCACAGTGGCAAGCCCGACAAGACGCTTGTACAACTCTTTTTTTTCAGCAAGTGACAGCACAGGACAAATATTGATTTATTTTCATTCCGGTTACCATGTACGTAGATACTGAGACTAGGTGCCCAGTTACCGTGTACGTAGATACTGAGACTAGGTGCCCAGTTACCATGTACGTAGACACTCCGTTTCTGTAATTAATTTTTTTTTAAAATCACATCGCACACAATCGACAGCCGTGGCCTCTTACCAACACCTCTTCCCACAGCAGGCCGAGAGTGCGTGATCGCTATGCGCAGTCTCATTGGTCGACATAATTAACTTTGCCTGGGGCAAAGTTGACTCAACTTTGTTGTTCTGTTCATACTAATGATGCACGGAGGGCCAGTTTAAATAGACCTAGTAACTGGATATTTAAACTCACGTCTCGATTGTTATCAAGGCCTATAATGGAGAAAAGGCGAACAATTTTCTTAATTTATACTGGAAATATTTAGGAACAAGGGTTGGAGGTTGGAAGTTGGAACAGACGTCATGCTGGGCTCAATTCAGAGTCCGAATATAATTTTTGTCTATTCGAATAGTCACTTCGTTCTCTGCACGGTTTCCATTCTCGAGATTTGTTTATAATTTGCGAATGGAGTGGCTCGCGTGTGTAAGGTGTGAACGGGGGCGTGAAGGGATTTTTTTTTGTTTACGTGAAGGATTTTGGTTTTTGCTTTAGATTTAGGGGTGACTAAATGCAAATTCTGGCAGTACCCTTTGAATGCATTTTCAAATGAAGTATAGCCGGGTACGTGGCCCCAATCACAACTGAAGTATGTGAATATTCAGACATTAAAAAAATTTTTAAATCTCTAGAAATTGAATTCGATGCAAAAAAAGCTTCTTCCCAGTCCTCGCAGAATGGCAGAAGGAGAGATGACGCCTAAATCTCGCTAATGACCCCAAAATCTCGATATCGGAAACAGGTCGGAGAAATAGAGATGAAGTTTATTTTCCTGAGCATTCGGAGAAATAATCACTTTGAAACGATAATGTCTGGTAAAGAGTTAATAAGGCTTTGTTTGAAAGTAAGGGTCTAGCTTTCAGCAAAATTGCAGTACCGTACATTAATTTCTATTCTAATTTATTTCTAACATAACTAATATGATCTTGCCAACCACACCTTTCGCCAATAATACTTAAAAGTGTTGTTGATCTGACTCGATAGATTTCATTGTCAATAGGCCTACATATTAATGAACGGTGTAGCTGATCAGGTGGGCTCGACGACTCGTACAGCCGCCCCCTCCCATCCTTCCACACACAGCCCCAACCCTTACAACCCTCTCCCAAAAATCGTGAGCAATTTCCATCATGACAATGCATGTTTGATGTTCGCGAGTGTGCTATGAAATGACCGTCTCCATTCAACCATGTGGATTTGGAGTGTGACGAGATGACTGTGACGTCTTGACTACACCGGTGTGACGAAATGACTGGTATTCTTTGGACTGACTAGGAGTATAATATATTGGGGATAATCCGCCATATATCGGTAGGAGGGTGCCAACTGGCATGAGTAGATCTAGATTTAGGTCTTTTTTTCTGGCCAGCTCTATTTCTCCGAAGGGCCAATCACAGAGGTGTGCTAGGTGCTTTCTGTAGCTTCATGGGATCTAATATCTGTGTTGCCTTTTTCTGCACTGTTGTTATTTGAATGTTACATAGGCCTAAATGGTGCTGATGTGCTTCTCTTTATTTTACTCAAACTGGTCACAAAAGTCTAGAAGTGGAAGGCTAGACATTTCATCTTGCCCAGCCCTACTCACTGAAGACTAGGCCAACTTAGGCCTTGTCTACTTGTAAACTTAGCTGAGACACTAAATTAAGATTTTGATATAAGGTAAAGATTTACTTTCACTCCCTCGCTCAGATGCTCTGATTTGGAGGTCAAACTGCAGTAATTTTTGCTGCAGAACACACATATATGACCACTAAAACTTGCAAATCATTTTTATGACAAAAAAATTTCAAACCTAACCTAATTGCAAAACATCAAATTATTGATTGTTAACCCCCACCCCCCTTTTTTGTTCTTCTTTAGCTTACACTTTAAAAAATTTATCTTTGTTCCTTTAGGTCATTATTAATAGTGTGGGAAGCTGAGAAGAATATGAGGAAGTCGTCGTTTGGTGGAGGAAGGCCGTCTTTGGCATCAGGGGCTCCACTCCGAGTCCGTCACGAAAACAGCAACACGAGTCAACGCGGTGGACGGAAGTCAACTCAGGGAAAAGACAAAACAAAGAGTAGGAGTTTGTCATTTGCACCACGAAGTTCCATTGGTGTGAGCAGTTACAAGCCTGGAGGAAGTCAGTTGTCTTTTTTGCCTAAATCGGGGTAAGGAAAGTACTGGTTTTACACAGCAATGTAAGATGATGGGAAATTGTGGTCAAGGAGAATTGATGCTGCGTAAAAGATTTTACAGAAAATATTATGTTTTATTATTTTTCTTTTTCTAGGTCATGTAATTGTGTTGCTTCCATTCAGTGTTCAAGCTTTTATTACAGCTTGGTTGTTATGGAGTTCATGTTGAGAAAAGTATCTGGGGGATTTGTTGGGAGTTTTTTTTCTGTACCATCCCTAGATGTTGCACAGACAAAACAATGTACAGAATAGAGTAGAATAAATGTGTCGGTTTTACCAACTTGCCATCTGTCATTACACAAAGCATTACATCACACTAATTATAATTGATTAAAGACAGGTGGAAGTATTTATGGATGTATTAGTGAATAACTTACTTTTAGAATATGGCTGAAAAGTATGAATGTCACCTAAGAGCTATGGATTGCGAATGACTGACAAATTTTGCGCTTCCATCGGTGAGAGAAGATCAGTCTTTTTGTCCCATGGCTGTGCCCTCAGATTCATTCATTCCTTTGATCATTCTGTCTGTCCTTCCTTTTCAGTGACTTGTTTTTATTAAATCCATTAATCATTGACAACAAACTTCTGTCTTTATCAGAGACTTATCAGAGTTAGAGATGTACTCATTTTTAGACACCCGTGAGAGTCACTTTGGCTAAAGAAAGGATATCTGCATGGTACGAGTACAATGTGATTTTTAGGGTTCTCACCATGCATGCTTTTACCTACATCTATAAGTTTGTATCTCAACACTTGTTTGTCTTATATCTTTTATTCTTTTGTTCGCTTTGTGCACGCGACATTTATCAGTGTCAGGTACAGCTGTTCAAAAGTTTTTGGCACCTGATCCTGTCAGTTTTTGCAACTTAATTTAAGGATTTCTATTAAAATGTAGTAGCGTCGGTGGCCTAGAGGCTAGGGTACCGGACTCGTAATCATGAGATTGTGGGTTCGGGGGGGGGTTTGAGCCTCAGCTCGGTCCGATGTTGTATCCTTAGGAAAGGCACTTTACACAAATTTCCCACTTTGCTCTGTTTTTTCGGAGTTGGATGTTGTACTCTGAGGTCCCGCCTCTTAAATAACCTAACAGTGTTGATAGGGGGCGTAAATACCTATACCATTTCACCATTTAACCATTAATATGTGGGGTTGTTTAAAATAGTTTTTTTTTAAAACACAGACGTCCTTCAAGTGGAATTGGAGTTCGTGGGAGGACAGATGTTCCGAAAGATCCACGTCCCATTTCTGACAAAAAGTACCACAATCAATGTATAAGGCAGTTACTAGAGGTATGCGTGCTCAAGAAATCTAGACATAATAGTTCACGTATGTTACAACCAGGCTTTTTCTTCACATTTGAATTTAAAATCTTTGTTGACTTTCATAGATTAACATTTTGTTACTTCTCACAGAATGCTGTTATTTGTGATAGAATACACGTTCCTCTAATAGAATATTGTTACTTTTGATAAAGTTACTTGAAAAAGAACATATTGTTTCTGATCAAATGCTGGTTTCCTGATTACCTCTGATAGAATTATTTCAACAGAATGTTAATGCTCCTGTAATACTGTTACTTGTAATGGAATATTTTATTATTTTAAATGGATTATTGTAACCTTTGATAGAATATTGTTCTGATGGGACATTGTTACCTCTGATAGAATATAGATACTTCTAATGGAAGAGGTTTAAAAAAAATTGATTTGTATGCTTTTCTCTTTTTATTCTCTTTTGACCTCATGAAGAATTCATTGCAACTGTTTCAGTTTCTTATGGCCAACAACTATCCTCATGCTGTCTCGCAAAAACTGTTGGTTTCTCCAACAAGCAAGGACTTCTTCAAGATTTTTGCTGTGAGTATTTTTCTTCTATCATTTGCTTTGATTAGTGACTTTTCTACCTTTCCCATCCCTCTAATTATTGAAACAGGAAAACAGAATCTTTTGTGTTTCTATGCAGGTTGCCGTCAATGTAACTATAACTATTATTTTTTCTTGTAACTTAAATTTAAAAGAATGTCTTTGTGGAACTGAGACCCACTCTTTTAATTTACAGTTACAGCTAGCTATGGCCAAGAGATGCTTAATCTGTAAGAATAAGTTTGTGGGCATCAAAGGTTACCTTGAATTGAAATGGCAACAGCTTTTGTTATACAGTGCTTCCACTCTTCCGTATTTTTACGGAAATCCGTACTTTCTGCCAATTCCGTACTTGTTCCTCCATCTTTTTCAACTCCGTCCGTAAAAAGCTGCCACAGAGTAGGACTACCGAAATTCCGTAGCAAAAGATCCGTACTCGCCTTCGTATCGTCTAGTACTAGTATAAGTTACGGATATTTATGGTAATTCTCTCTGTAATAAGTTAATGTTATAGAAACCGGCCAGATGGCGCATTTCCTGCAATTGGCCATTATTCCGCTATGCCCCATGCATTCATTGCTGGCTTGTTGGCAGTACATTTTTACCTGTAGGTTGATCAAAATCTGGCGAACTTTTTGTGCCAATTTCCTCCTTTCTATCATTCCCTCATTCCGTCTGTCTATCTTCGGATTGTTGCCGCGGCTGGAAGATCTGTGCGTTGATCAAGTAAATTGACTTGTGATCTTAGCCAGAAAATTACTGTCAGAAAGAAACTTTTTTACAAATTTTTCTAGATCTAGAGAAATGATCAATACGAAGATTTTACGGCACGGAAACGTGATAAGGGCCACGATGAAAGAAATTTATTCTAAAACCAGCCTAAAACTACTAAAGTCAAGAATAATTTGAAGTGGGATTCCGAGGTTGTGATATGCGACATTCAGGCGTGAAATTTAAGAAAAATTAGGGTATACGCCGGGTAACTATTGTGAAGGTACATATCTATTCATTATACCCAGGTTGGCCTTCTTTCAATGGTGCGATGACAAATTAATTAAAATATAGTAGCAGTTGAAGGGGAACCTGCTTTTAAACATAGCCATCAATGGAAATATATTATGTAGATCTTGGTGAAGAAATGAAACAGGACAAAATGTTGGTGAAAAAATAAATGTTATGGTTTGCAGGCAATCTCTTCTAACAGGCTCCCAAATGCCATTTTCAACCCTCTAAAAGCAATAAATTTCATTTTCTTCGGGCGCTTAGCCCCCTGGACCCCCTGCAGAATTTTCCTTACTTTTCAGCTTCAGCTGGTGGTGGAAGCACAGGTTATAGGTAAAGGGCTACAAATTTGATGTATATTAAAAAAACCCAGTTTGCGCTTCTTCTAAGTTTTCAAAAGTAATTATCGTTTCATTTTTATGTCACTCATCAGTAATTTGTTTGTTAAACACTCCTGAGCTGAAGTTAAAAGTTAACCTTTTCAATATTATGTCTTTTGCTTTCCCCGGTACGTCAAGCTGTGGAAGAATCTGAAATTGTTTGACATATCAGAAACATCGTTATGGTGTTGAAAGGGCTAAATTCCCTCCCCCGTAAATATCCATCCTTACCTTTTCTCTTGTACTTAAGAAACCTAAGCTATTTGTTTCTTTCCTTCAGCCAGAGCCAGAGTTATGTCCTCCAAAATTCTTTATCCTCCTTCTGTTGCATTCTTTTTTCCAGTTTATCTACAGCAAGCTTCATCCTGGCTACAAGATGGCTACAAAGATGGAGGAAGAGGTGCCTCGGGTGCTCAAGATGATGGCATACCCTTTCAGTTTGTCGAAGACGTACCTTTACTCTGTGGGGAGTCCTCATACCTGGCCACACTTGCTTGGTGCTCTCATTTGGATGCTCGATCTCATCGAGGTACCTTTTTGTACTGCGGAAATCCTTTTTTTAAAACTCCCTTAAAACCCATTTATATTGATCCCAATGGGATAATTTGGATTACAATGGCTAGTTCTCGTACAATGCAGAAATACGCAAATAATTTTCTATTGGTACATGATTCACAATATCTAATACCCAGTATCACAACAGACAGTCAAGAACATCATCAAATGCAACACTTGGATAACAAGGAAACTTCCTTTGATGTCAGGATTTTCTCAGCCCTTTGTTTCCCGAGATCTGTCCCCTAAAAGTAAAAGCGTACAGAAAGGAAAGGAATGTAACACGACACTGGTAAGTGCTCAAGATTTTAGCCAGCTTTAGTTTGGGTTTGCTTTTTCTCATGAAATGACAAGGATTTCCATGCTTCTCCAGATGGCAGGTAACATCCCCAGTCAAGGAGGAATTGATGCATTTATATTTGGGGATGCCAATGGAGAGGAGTTTGATGTGAAGTCAGAAGATCAGGTACATATTTATATAATCTGTTATTTGTTTTTCTCATCTGGTGAATTTATTTTGTTCTTTGTATTTCTCATCTTGTGTATTCATGTTGCTCACTGTATTTCTCATCTCATTATGCATTTATGTTGAATACAGTATTTTTCTCATCTTCTGTATTCATGTCACTCTCTCTTTGTCCTATCTTGTGAATTTTTTCAATTCACTTTTGTTATCTCTTATGTGTTTATTTTATCTTTATGTTGTTTTCTACACGTTTTAGGCTTTTGAAGATAATTGCTGTGTTGATGTGCTTCTCCTTACTCAACACCCCCTGGGGCAGTGCCACTGACTGAAGTGTCTTTAGGCCATTCCCTGGGGATATTAACATGGTCTTATGCAGAGTAGAATTGTAAATGGGCTGATTCAACAATGTCATGCTCATAACTGTGCCTGAACTACAATAGGGAACTGCTGCTTTTTTTTTTCCAGATCCTTACTATTGTCATTTTCCTCTATTTCTTTTGTATGTTTGTCACGCTCTTGTGACCCGCTATTTCCGGGGTGCCTTGATAGTCAAAGCAGACTTTGTGTTGTTGAAGCTATAGAGGTGAGCAGAGTAAGTCTGATTCCCTGTGAGGACTTCTCTGTTGACATCCCCCCCTTGGCGCTCATATGACCGTATGCAGTTGCGAGCGCAGTAAAACCTCTGCTTAAACTAAAAAATCTCCTTACTCAAGCTCAAAAGTTTTTCTAATTAAATTTGGAACGGAAACACTGCTGTTAGGCAAGGTTTTGTGAAAACATTAGACAGGAGTATGCTTGTGTTATTTTGCAAAAGAAGCACAGATTTTATGACTGGTTAGATGCTTTGAAAATATTACCCGGAAATGAGAATCAGTTCTTTCTGTTGCTTTGTATGTCAGTCATGGAACAGGATTTTGTGAACGCGGAAGATATGAATAACTTGATCTTCAGTCATATGTTACATCTAAGTTAACTATTTTCTCTATGCAGACTGTATACGAGTATTGTGAGGGAACCTATGCTGCTTTCATGCGTGGAGCAGACACATTTGAAGAGTTTGACAATGACTTACGCATTCTACTTAGTAAGTATTACTGTTAATTGTGGTCATGAATTGTTCATTTAAGATTATCGTGCATGCTCTCTGTTTAACTAGTTTATTCATGAAAGTCTGCTCATCCATGGTTTTATGAGGTTTTTTTCCTTTAATCATAATTTGACAATTGTGCCATACATCACTTATTTCTCATAATGTTAGTGACTGAAATATTGCTTTTTGAATTGTAATTTTGTGAGTTTAGGATTAAAAACAAAACGTTTTTCTTATCATCCCCGTATGTAGTTCTGTGTCGTTGCTGTCTCGAGCAATCCACTTATGCCTGTTTGGGTACTTTTTACACCTGAGTGTTGTTCCTATCAGAAATCATGAAATGCAAGAAAATTATAAGCTCAAGCATTTAACTGCATTTTGATTATGTTGAATGGTGCACCTTTGTTAGAGCAATAGGAGGGTGTAAAAATTAAAAAATTATCAAAATTTGGACTTGTATGGATTGTTTGCGACAGCAAAGATGTGTAGATTATGATTCTGTGTCAGTTGGACTGTTGAACATAAGTGTGGTTGAAGAGCACCACTGGTAGGTCCTACTTTTATTTTTCCTCTGTAGTTTCTGTCTATCTGTCTTGCTTCTTCCCTGCACTATGTGACTATTATTGTTTCGATGTGTTTCTCTTTACTAAAACTCAACTGTAAAACATCACACAGATAGGGCAAACTTACTTATTGGCTGCCTTGCCCTAGCAGAGAAACCAAACAGACAGCTGAGCATGTCCTTTAGACCTTCAGAAAACACCCCGTGGGTGGTTGGCGGGTGCTCTTGTGCGGTTTGCTCCTTCTTTCCTATCAAACATCTATCGTCCTTATCTTCCCTTGTTCTTTTTTATGTGTGTTACTCTCTTGTAACACCTCTAATCTTCTGGCGCTCATATGACCTTATGCAGTTGCGAGCGCCGTAAAAGCTGTACTAAAACCAAACTAAGAAAACACCCAAAAGTTTGAGAGGAGATTTGGCCAACCCTTGTTTCGTTGTTTCTCTCCAGGAGAGATTGTACCGGTCACTGGACATATTACTGAAGACCGTGTGCGGGTCACTGGATATTTTACTGAAGACCGTCACAGTTTAAAAATTGAATCTGACCCCCATGTGTAAATGTGTACAAAAAGAAAAAGTACTTGTTATCACAAGAGTCATACTGGTTGTTTTTTTTGTGTGTGTTGCTTGTTTTTTGTTTGTTTGTTGAGAGGGGGGGAGAGTTCAAGTGCGTAGAAGCAAAAGTTTGAAAGCTGCTGAGTGGAATGTTCTGTGTTTTCTTAGCATGAGAACCATGTCAGTGATCAGTTACTGGAAAATGATGCTTGTACCTTTTTCTGAGAGAGCAATGGTGCTTGATTTGTAATGTTTGTTTTCATTTTTAAATTATTTGCATGTGCATTTTTCTGCGTGTTTCAGAGCAGAAGTATCAGGGTGAAAACATGGAGTCTATGGTTGAGGAAAACCGTAGGTTGGAGAGTGAGTTGGAGCTTGTGGAGCAAAATGAGGTGAGAGTAGGAAAATTTTACCAGGTTGGCGGTTGACCAAAACAACAGTTGCCAGTGATGGGTAGTTTTTGCACCCCAAAAAAATTATGCAAAGAGGATAATAGCTAATGTAAGCAGAGTAAGTAAAAACTTCAACGTCCACATATCATTGACATTGGTCCAGAAATAGTGCAGACAGAGGTTGAGAAAGTTAGTCTCTTATGCTACAGTCCAAAAATTCACCCGCAAACGGGGACCAAATTTTCGCCGCACAGGAAAGCCCGATTGGCATTGCTAAATTGTTTGTTTTTGTGGTAATTGGACACCTCTCGAAATACTTTGCTGGGGTTATAGACATATTAAATTTAACTTTGCAGACTGCTTGTCAGTGACCTTTTCTCATGTTCTTAGGTGCAGAGGACAAACCAAGGACTGCCATATCGATAGATTGTAAGGCCAGATGGTAAAATGTTGAATCGTCCCAGCAGACGGATGAAGAAACTGTTTAGCATGAACTTCTTCATATGGGAATTGAACTCATGTCTTTTGTTTACCAAGGCAAGGAGCCAAACATTGCACCACAAACACCGGCGTCAAGAGCTATTTCCATTTTTTAAAGGCCATGTCAACACTTTGTCATGCCCTTTGTTCCAACAATGTTTATACTTCTTTCACAATTTTTTTTAGGGAGAGGTACGGGTACTTTTTGATTAATTCATAATTTTAATTTTAATTTTTTTTTCTAGTGAAATTTGTGGTCCAATTGTCTTAAATTTCTCTGTTACATCTTTTTTCGTCTTAAGGAGTGGATTCTGAAGCTTCGTGAGGGAATTGCCTGCCTCAAGCAGGATGAGCAGACCACGTTACAGTACTTGGAAAACCTGGAAAAGTTCAAGAGATCCGTGAGCACAGAGCTCAGCGAGTGCGAAGAGTCGTGCAAAATGCTGAGTGAGTGGTCCTGTGATGTTAGTTTGGAGGTGGCAAGCTTAGTCGCGCTATGAGACAGTAATTCAACATAATGCATTTCTATGCTCATAGGTGGGCTGATTGTGTTTGTTTTCTATTTATGAGTGGTGGCGTTGGTAGCCTACCGTAAGGTATCGAATAGGGTGGGGGGCAAGTGGTCCAAAATTAATAAACGGAGGGGGAGGGGTGCACATTCAACCTTATACCCCTACTATTAAGAGCATATCTGCTTTATTTCTCATTTAGTGAATAAAAGGACAAGAGATCGTGAAATTTTAGTGATTTTAGTAAGCTACTGTGACTTTTCCCATTTTTCGAACAAACCAGTTTCATAAGAAAATATAAACCAATGTACAAACGTAAATGCACAGAAAATGGAGGTAGCAACCCGGTACCGGTACTAATACTGAGGGTAATTTGCCATTTACACACAAAAAAAAGAAGTTTCATTCAGATATCTAGATTCTAGATATGTTTCACATGATCGTAGGTCGTGACAAGCTGGAAAAAAATTAACGGGGAGCATGAAATGGGGGGGGGGGGGGGGGGCAAAATAAATTAAAACTATTAAAGGGGGGGGGTATTCGATACCTTACAGTACCGGACCCATAATTGTAAGATTGCGGACTCAGGGGTTCTAGCCCCAGATTGGTCTGATGTTGTGTCCTGGAAAGGCACTTTATACAAAACTTATTTGGCTCTGTCCTTTTGGAAATGGACATTTAACTGGGAGGTACCGCGTCTTAAATAAGCTCATAGTGTTGTTAGAGACGTTAAACCTGTACCATTTCACCATTTTTTATTTGTGAGTAGCTCTAAGAAAACTTGTCAGAAGATTAACATTTTCAAAATTGATTTTTTTTGGTGCTCATTTCAAAAGATTTACTTTTCTTGAGCACTTCAAATAGCATAATGATAAAAAAATAAGTTTAGAGAAAACAGTTGTTTAGTTTTAGTAGAGGTTTTACGGCGCTTGCAACTGCATAAGGTCATACGGGCGCCAAGGGGTGGATGTCAACTGAGAAGTCCTTACAGGGAATCAGGCTTACTCTGCTCACCTCTCTAGCTTCAACAGCACAAAGCCTCCTTCGACTATCAAGGCACCCTGAAAATATCGGGTCACAAGAGTGTGACAAACATACAAAACAAGTAGAGGAAAATAACGATAGTAAGGATTAGGAAAGAAAAAGCAGCGGTTCCCTGTTGTAGTTCAGGTACAGTTATGAGCATGACATTGTTGGATCAGCCTATTTACAATTCTAATGTGCATTAGAACGAGAAATGTCCCCTCTTTGGGAATGGTTTAAAGACACTTCAGTCAGTGGCACCGCCCCGGGGGTGAAAACAGCTGTAAAAATGTTTCATAATGAGGCTGAGTAAAGTGTGAAATGAAAATGTGCAGTTCTTCAGAGTTTTTTAGCTGCTACAATATTCTTACGCTCTGGGTTCCCCAGAAAAGCAGTAGGAGTCTTTTTTTTATATGTTACTGTTGGGGACCACACTTGAAAAACCAGAGCCCATTTGTTGAAGTAAACAGTTTCAAATTTTAAAGAAATTTGTCCTCTGTCTATCCCTCCAAATATTTATAATTTATACAAAAAGATTTACAGCAGCAATCTCACGGGCAAGATCCCTTTAAATTGAGAATGAGAAATTGTTTATTTTTCCATATTGTGTGAAATCGTGTTTGTAATAGCAATTAAGTTCTAGTTTTAAATTTAAATTACTGAGATGCCCGTGTGCTTTTACCCCCCTCAGGCTCTGATCTGGAGTCCGAGAAAGCGCGTGTGGCGGAGATGCAGATGATCTACCAGTGCCAGGACCTGACCCCCTCCGACGTGGACCGTCTCAAGGCTGAGCAAGCTCGTCTGCGTCTGCAGGTGGAGATGGTGCAAAAGCAAGTGGAGGAAATTGATGCGGATAACTGGAAGGTGTCCATGGATATGTCCAACGTCAATGAAAAGGTAAGTATGTGTAAGTGTGTTTGGATGTGCCCTGAGAGTCTCCGGCTTTGGGGGGAGGTCTTGGCCACCATGCATAACATTGTAACATCTTAGCTGTCATTGACAGGGCTCCCCTTTTCAGGCCAATTTAAGAGGTTCCTTCACCCTTCGGTGTACTATTTTAAGGGGTATTTAAACCCTTGTTTTAGAAACTTAAAGGGTAAGAGTCAATATCTCATAATTTTATCGTAAGATTTGTTTTGCTTGCAAACATTTTACTCACAAGCATATTCGCACAGACACACATAGAGTGACCATGACTATGATTGAATGCTAACGATTTTAATCAACTTAAAAAATAAATGAGTAATATTGACTAGAATTACAGTTGTGTCCATTTGGAGGGGGGAAGAGTGGTAGTGGTTGAGCAGTTGAGTCTATCAAAAATGAAATAAAGTTGACAAACCAAAAGGGGTCAACTCCGACTATAATACTCCAAGAAAAATAGACCTGCCACTCTGTGATATCTAAAAGTCAGGATCTCAGTGGGGAAAAAAATTGGGATCAACGACAAATCACTTAGGTCACTGCCAAGCTGACTTTACGAAATTCCAGGGGTGTCCATTACTATATCCATGTACAGTGGAAACCATATATTTATATAACCGGCCCGGTAATGACAGGGATCCGGTAATAACAGGGATTTTTTATATCCCCGTTTTTTTCCTACTCTTTGTCTCTGTTAAAAGTTATCAGCAATAACAGGGCCTCATCGGAGCCCAATCGGTTATAGCAGGGAGACAGGCTCCTTAACAATGTGTAAAAAGTAAGAGAGAGGGACAGACACCCACAGCGGGTGAAGCGAGAGGGGGTTGCGGTGTGCTGTAGACTTAGATCTAGCCCTAAACCTAGCAACACGCACGCGTAATGTGGCATGCGCAGGCCATGGGAATAAATACAGCTGGATTAGCCCACAATTGCTTACTTCCCTTGCTTTTCTGATTTAGCAGGGATCTGATATAACAGGACTTTTTCTCTGGTCCCGCTATCCCTGTTATATTAGGTTTCCACTGTATATTCCCTCTGCGCGCGTGTGTGTGTGTGGTGTATGTGTGTGAGCGTGCGTGCGCCTGTGTGTGTGTTTTTTATCTTTTTTTTATCCTGAAGTATCCTGTCAAGGTCTCCTAGTCCAAGTGTTTTACACGCACACACCCCCTATAACTTACCTGGCTGCTTCCTAAGCAGCTCGTCGGGCCTCCTCTCCAGGATCTGGAGGTATTGTTTGTTCATCATGCACTTCCGGTAATTCTCTTCTATTTCATGTCTCGTTCTGGGCACCCGGAAGTCGTGGCAGCAGCAGACGATCACAACTGGTGGAAGAAACAGATGACGTCATCACAACTGGTGGAAGAAACAGATGACGTCATCACAAACTGAGAAGCGAGAGGGTGTCAATAATTGTGACAGATCGTAGACTGGATGTACAGACAACTGGGAACACGTGGAATAACATCAAGAGGGAAGCCCAAGAGAGGGGGGCTGGAAGGTGTTTGTTTGTGGCAGATATCCTGGTGGATGGTGAAAAACGCAATGATAATGATGATGATGATGAT